ACACCAAACGTAAGTCAAAAGCACCAACCAACAAAACCTGAGAGACTGAACAAGTAACAACCCCACAATAAGTGATGCAAGCCCTCAGTTTGACACCAACAAAGAACAAACCACTGCAGGTACAACACAATGGAAGAGCGTCTCTCGACACGATCCTTCATGTTGGCTTTCCCATGTAAAATCTACCATACAAAAAAATTAAACTTTGTAGAGATTTTAACCTTCCAGATGGAGGAGACAGCAAAGGCAAATTGGGGAGGGGAATGGACGACCAACAGACAAAAGAAATCACTGGAAGAGCACCCCCTAGAAGAATCGAGATCCTAAAGCCTAGATTCCCTTCTCCCTTGAAACATGTGTCAATCCTAAAGAATAGAAAGAACACCCACGATATCTAACGTCCCTCTGCCAAAAGAATCACATGACAAACCTAACGACAAAAAGGCGGAAGGATCAAACCCCCAGTAACATAGAAGCCACAAAATGAAACTTCTCATTTGAAAGATGAGACAACGTGGGAATAACTCACGAATTTTTCAAAAAATAAAAACTCAAGCTCTTCCCAATACAGAATTTAACAAACGAGGAAAAAGATGGGAAGCCAAAGGTCATTGCTTTCCAGAGATTTTTATTAGGCTCTTTGGCCCCACCATCTGCAACCCACTTGAAACGTTGTGGAACTACCAACTCGTAATGACTTTGTGCCATAAGATGAGTGTTAGTTGGGCAATACTTGAAGACAACCTTAAGGATTGCTATCTTTTCCGACGTAGGAGACTTTGTATAACTGATTGACGAGGAACAATTGAGTTGACAATGCCCCTAAAAAAACCTTGTTCCAGCTGGACCTAGCTTTCTCTTATCACAGTGATTCCATGGTGACAGAATTTCAAATTTTAAAAGGTGTTTTTGAAGATCAGAATTGTGGTATGGAAGTCATGCCTCAACCAGTTGGATTTGCTGATAACGTGCAGCTAATAAGTATTCAAACAAGAACCATGATACGCAAAAATTTTCTTTGTTGAGTAGCCAGCTATGTACTATTAAACCATCACTATATTCATTACAGTTCTATATTTTACGTGGACATTAAACAGAAAGCACAACATTATGCAGATATACAAACGCATAAATTAAACAAAAAAAAATAGTAAATTAAAGAGGATGAAGATAATACCGATTCACTGAGAATTATCCCATGATGCAAATGTACCCCAATAGAAATCAGCACAAGTTTCATATAGTTCAATTGGACATGAGTATTTGAACGGTCTTCCTTAGTTGTGATTTATTTTTTAAAAAAAATAATTGATTGACGAGAACGCATTCACCTAAAAGAAGTAAATTGCGATATTTATACTTCCACTCGGACGCTGTAATTATTCTCATGTCACCGATAAGCTACAAAAAGCACAAACGACACTTCCGATGTCCAATTCCGAAACATTCGACATTAGAAAACGAAAGGAAAAAAAAAAAGACAGATTGATATCGGCACAATTCAATCGCAAAAGCGAAAGAATCATTCATGGGCACAAGAAGCGAGACATGGTTATAAATCCCAGCCCACAACCAGGCAAAAAATTAAGCTCAGACCCGACGAAATTCCCTCAACCCACGCAGGCTCAAGTCAAACGAACAAAAAGTTCCAATAAAATAACTAAATAACCGAATCAAAAAAAGGCAGATTCTATAGTAATCCAAGCAGAATTGCAAGATCCAAACGAAACGAAAAGCAAAAATTCCGTAATCACTCACCCGGAGGGTCCTGGAAGCTTCGGCAACGAGAACGGAAGCAGAGGGACCTCCATGATGCGAATAAGCAGCGGAGGAAGAGAGGCAATCAGCGACGGCCCTTCTTAACGGTTCAGGAGGCTTCTTGAGCGATGAAGATCTCAAGCGAGAGACTCCAGACAGGGGTCCCAACAGTTGGAGCCGAGAACTCCCCGGACTCCGAGAAGGACTGAAGGTAGAAGACATAAGACCACAAAATTCCACACAAAAAAAAAAAAAAAAAAAACAAACAATAAGAAGAAGAAGAAGAAGAAGAAGAAGAAGCTGAAGGAGTGAATTGAAGTTCTTGAGAGCTCGTGGTCGGAAGTGTTTTCTTCTACATTTGATACAGAATCAGAAGGAAACTGCTTGAGGCCTCGCTGCCTGTGAGAAAGTTTCGGACAAGAGACGAAGAGAGTGGATGGAAGGGAGGAAGACGAAAATTAACATTTTCTAAAAAAGAAAATAAAAAATTGGGATTTGGAATATATTAAATAAATAAATAAATATTAAATCCCGAAGAATTTTGAGTTAGAAAAAAAAAAACAAAAAAAGAATCTTAAAATTCGCGAGAGTGGAATTAGCTGTCCATATTGGCGAATTTTATGAGGCCTATTAGCTGGCAAGCATAAGCTTCCTTAAATTAAATTTTAAAGTAATTATATTTTATCGACTAACTCGATTTTGCGGTAAGTAAATATAAATAAATAATTTATTTTCTAAAGTATTTTTGTTTTCTTTTTCTTTTATATAATACATACTTTTGTTCGATAATATTTTTCTTTTTCTAAATGTATAATTATGTTTGATGTTATCTTATTTTTTAATGTAATTATTGTACCTTTTATAAGATAATTCTTTTTAATTTTGAAAATTGGAAACTAAAAACAAAACAAACAAAAAAAAAACATAATATTTACCCATCCTCCAATTATTAAAAATAAACCGAAATTTTGTCGAATTAATCTTCATCGAGCTTTTGTCCATTTGTTCTTAATCACGATTATGTTTCGTCTGTTGTTTAATTAATTGTTGCGTTTCATTTTGTTCTTTAATTATTCAGTTGAGGTAATTAATAAATATCTATAATAATTTGTTTTCATTTTGTTCTTCACCTAGGTCTCAACCATGTTGAACTCTGGTTACCATCCAAGCTACTAAAAAAAAATATTTTTGTCGTTAGTATATCCACATTAATATTACGTTTAAAAAAATATCTGTAAAATTTCTAAACGTAACGTTAATACTTTTAAATGTTGTACTTTTATTATCAATACCTTAAAATGTAAGAAGGAGATAATCCAGACAATTTTCGTTTATATATTGAGATAACAAATTTTATTCTTTTTATGAATGGTACCGATTTTTTTTAAGATAAAAGATATTAGTAAACTTTTTTAATTTATATGTATTTTCTAAATAAATTTTAAAATTTAAAGATCTAAGTGAATAGGCACGAAAGTAAGTGAAGATATGAGCACAAATCTCACTAATCTCATGCTGTGTGGTAATCAAACATCAAGATTTCGCTCACGTAATGCTTTCCCTTGAGCTTCTGAGTCTATACATGGTTTGAAATTTATAATAATGTTTTTATTATTTACATGTTAAATTTTGTGTGAACAGCTATTTTGTTATTTTTGGTTTTTTTTATTCAACTAATTTTTATTAAATTATAGAAATAAACGTCGGGTTGATTTCAATTGTGGATTCAAAATGTGATGTTTAAACCCTGAATTAAGGTTTACACTTAATTTTAATATTTATTTCGAAAAATAAATTTTCAAACATTTAAAAACTTATTTTTAAGAGTTATTAAATATTAAATGTTGAAAAACAATTATAGAATTCAATAAAAATATAATAAATACAAGAATATATATTAAATTAACATGCAAAATAATTTAAGAAATTTCATTATTATTATTATTATTATTATTTTGGCAATTTGTTTAATAATAGACCCATTTAACATCCTGTCACGGTTGTTTAAGGATGAGAATTTCATATTGTGGCATGAAATCTAGACTCAAATTCTAACTGCCAATTTATTTTTTTAATTCTAAAAATGTTAATTTTATAAAATAAAATAAAAAAAAAACTTAAAATATAATTTATTAGATGACTTGCGATAATTCCACGTAACGGTAGAGATCTCGAAATCTCAATAACCACTATTATTTTTTAATTCTCAAAGATATTTATTTCTCTTATTTTTTAATTTTAAATTATATATGGCCTTAAAAATACACCTATTATCTTTATCTTAAGTTAATTATATCAATAGTATTTTTTTTAACACTTGTTTATACTTTTTTATTTTATTTTTTATTTTAATTTTTCTTGTATATTTAAGAACCATAATTATCGAATTCCACGTTGTGGCCGTGGAGAGCTGGGCTCGAATCCCAGCAGCCACATTTATTTTTTAACTCTAAAATGATTAAGATTTCCACGTGATCGAGACCTAAGCTCAAATTCAAGTAATCACATTTATTTTTAACTCTCAAAATATTAAATTTATAAAAATAAAAACTCTTAAAAAAAAATAGAGATTATGAATAGGTAGATTGGGAGAGCTGGATACTTTTAATAATCATAATTTTCCATAATAATAAAATCCTTCAATAAATAATAAAACTTTATTCTATATGACCACAAAAGAATTAAAATCATACATAAGAGGAGCTACTAATACTATGACTATACACAAAAAGAATTACCCAAATATTAAAAATGAAGCCAGAGACGACATGTCGACGTGGGAGAGTAAAGAACAACACAATAACACACCTTACAAAACAAGAACAAAGGAACATATCAAATGGTCCAAAATCTTTTCAAACTAACTTTTTCAATTTGATCCTTAAATCTTTAAAATTCTTAATTTCTCTTGATAATTTTAATAAACACACTTTTAATTTCATGTTCTAAAAACGTGCCTAATTTTTTATTTTGTATATAATAAACCAATGGAAAATTTAAGATTTAATTATACATAAAATATATATTCATATTAATTTTTTTAAAAATTAGACCACAAAATTGAAAATTAAAAATTTATTAATTTTTTTTAAAATTTCAATACCAAATACAATTACATAGAAAATTAAAATTTTTAAAATGTAGTAGTTATTATATATTATTTAAAATTTAATTTAATGTTTAAACTAATTAGATATAATTGAGAGTTGTTAATTTTAAGATAAATTAAGGACCAAATGGAGAAAAAGAAAAAGATGAAGGACCATTAGATATAATTAGGCAAATCAAACGACATGACGCACCAAAAAATTCAGCGGTGGAAGTCCTCTTGAAGGAAGTAAGGTTATAAATGAAAACGAGAGCCGTTGATTACGAAACAGACGACCCGAAAACCCGAAAGCAGCGAGGATAACCCGAGAAACAGGAAACCGGCGAATCCCAATGCAATCGAGATCGTGGATTGAACACAAAAGGCGCTGGTAGCCCTACACGTGTCGGTTCTCCTCAGAGTTATCAAGAGAGCCGTCCCTGCGGAGCCCGCAGAGAGAAGAAGGTACGCGAACGCCTATGGAATCAGAGCCCTAATTTCCGATTTAGACCAGAAGATAGAGAAAAAAGAAAAAAGAAAAAAGGCAAAGGGTTAGGGTTTTGACCTGGTCATGGCCGAAGTCGAACCAGACTTGTAAAATCTCAGGGAAGAGCGTCACTTCTCTCGAGATTTCCCACACGGAGGCAATCATTTCGAACAGTGAGTACACTGCGACTATGGCGTTTGCCGCGAAGACGTACCTGGTCAGGAAAGCGTTAGTTCGGTAATAGAGTGCGTTTTTTAGTATGGAAATGTGCGTTTCCGTATGTGCGGAATTAGTTGTGGTTCCAATTCGAAAATCTCGTCTGTTGTATTTGATTTTCAGGAGAAATACCTCGAATGCGAAGAATCGGAAAAGAGGGCAAACGGCGTACCTGAAGGCGTCGAAATCGTACCAGCGAGGGGAATCGGATCCAGAGCCGCGAGAGTTAGTAATCATGAAAACAGCAGAGGCAAGGGAGAAGCAGAAGGTAGACAAACGGAAGACGAGGATTAGAGAGTTGAAGCGCTTCAGTTTCTGAACAGAGACGGTCGAGTGAAAGTGATGGTGAGGAGTAGGGATTCGAGCGTGAGGCGATGGTGTGCCGCCGCCGTTACGGAGTGACTGAGGGGATCGCATGGTCGCCGTCGCAGTTTGCTACAGGTAGAGTAGTAGGTCATACATGAAATGGGGGTGAAATTGATTGTTGCAGACAGAGGAGGAATATAAGGTAAGGTTTGGATTTCCTGTTTTCCCTTTTGAGCTGTAAAAGAGAGAGAAAAACAGAGGATTAGGATTTTGGATTAGAGAGATGAAGTTGAGATGGGAGATGGCGGTGGAGTCACGGGCGAGGGCAAGGGTTCCATTAGAAGAGAGGGTTGTGTGAAAAAATGAGTGGGAAATTATTCAAAGCGGCTAGCAGAGAGAACTGGAGAGAGAGAGAGAGAGAGAGAGAGAGAGAGAGAGAGAGAGAGGGGCTCTGAGGACAGTGATGGAGAAATTTGCTTTTAAATTTTTGGGTTTTCTTCTCTCTCTGGCCTGTCCCCTCCCTTCGTTAGGATAAGTTTTTTTTTTTTTTTTAATCTTATAAAAAAAAATTCACTGCTACTAATAAATAACTTCTCTTTCTTTTTTTAGCGCCGGAATATCCAATTTAATTCTATTTTAGTGTAGGAAGGATCTGTTATATTTCATTTCTAAAATTTTTCATGGTGAAGTGTTTGATTGATTTAACTTTTAAAAAAAGTATAATATTTAGAAAAATGTTAATTGATTTAATCAAAAGTGCCTTTTTTCTCAAATGATTATAACTCACCTAACAAATATTCTTCACACTCAAATTAAGTGGTTGAAATTATTAACACAAAATAATTGCTGAATTATGGGGATGAAAGCGCGTTTTGATTAGAAGTATTGTCTATAAAATTTAATTATTATTTTAAAAATCGATGAGTTTATCAATTTTTACAAATTGGACTCTACAATGAATAAAAATTAATCCATTGATGTTAATAAAATGAGTAATATAAAATCCTTTAAAATTTTACTATAAAAGATATCAAATTTTGTACAGATTTTAGTGGGATACATAAACTAATTATTAACCATCTAAATATACTCCAATAGATAACACATCATTTCAAAAAATTAATAATTTGTTTTTCACTGTTCATTAACAAAAAAATAAATAAATTATTGGTGGAATAATTTGAATGTTTGGCTCCATTATAATTTTTCTTTCAAATTTGACAATTTTATATAATAACAAACCAGAATACTTTCTTATATCAATTTTGAAACAAAAATTTATTGGACATTTAGTTTGAAATTGAAATCTTACAATCAAATTAATCAAATCTATAGGTTTATCACTCAAAAGTTATCTTTTTTTTCCAAAAAAATAAATAGTGAAATTATAAAATTTTAAAAGTGTGAGATAAGAGTATGTGGGTGTATTTGGTCAACAACATGATAAAATATTGAACACAAAAGTCAACATAACATGAAAAGCTGCCCTAAAAAACATAAGACAATATTTTCATAATTTTGTCTCTTTTAAGTCTCTCTATTTTTTTTTTTTTACAAAAAAAAAAACTTTATTTAAATTAGTTTATTTTCATTTTCTTCATAAATTGTGTTCTTAACATGATTTCATTACATGGTCCGACTAGTAATAATTTTGAATTTTAAACTTTTATTCATATAGAAATCATAGATTGGCCCTAAAATAAATCTGAAAATGAAATATCAATATTCATATACATTTTTCTTAAATGGGTTACAACGGAAACTATTTAAATTAAAGAAAAAAAAAAGAAAGTTCATCGTAATTATAATTATGTAGCCGACATCTTCCGTATTTTTCGGCATTTCAATTTTCGTCATGTCGTCATGATATATATATATTTAATTTGATCGAACAATAATAAAATTCGGATGTTGGTTGAAAATTTCCGATTAAATTAAAAGAGAGAGAATCATAAATTGGAATTTTCTTAAATAGTAATTTAATAAAGGCGTTTTGTATGTGTCTCCGTTTTTTAAAGTATTTAATATATTTATGATAAACTTATAAATTTTGTAAATTAATTCATATCAAACTCAAATTTAAATTGTTTAAAGTGTTACTTATAAAATCAATTATAGGAGTTTATTATTATTATTATTTTTAAACTATTCTCCTCCGATTTAGCATCGTTCTAAATTTTAAAGATTAGAATTTTGTAATTGAGGGGAAGGATTCAAAATTCTAACATTTTAGTCGAGAATATAGGTTTGAATAAGTTGATATAGGTTTAAGTTTAAAAAAAAAATATACGGATATATATGAATTTAATATTTTTATATTTGGGATATAATCATATTCTACAACTTTATAAAGCTATAATAATAATAATAATAAATCATAGTCACGTATTTAGAGTCTTACAACTTGCTACATTAATAATAAAAATAAATATCCTTATTTAAAAACCAAAAAATTGAAAATATGAGAGTTTTATATTATTTCAGATGGACAAAAATAATGGAAGCCCACGAAATTGATTTTTTTATTGGTCCGACCGTTATAGGTAGGGCCCAAAGCTCTTTTTTCGGCGGGGCAAAAAAGTGCGTTTATAAAAATAAAAGAAAAATGGAAACTAAAAAAGAAAAGGGGCATTCCGAGAATTGAACTCGGGACCTCTCGCACCCTAAGCGAGAATCATACCACTAGACCAAATGCCCTTTGTTGAATTTGTTTGAAACAACTTTTAAATTATAAATTAAGGGTTTACGTTTCCTATGTTTTTTTGTTAATTATTATTTTTGAATTCAACCCATATTGGTGGAGAATATATATATGTGTGTGTTTATATTTATATTTGAATTGATGCAATAGTTGAAATGAATTCATAAAGATGGGTATGGAATAGATTTATTAAACCAAAGTTTAAATCCACAGTCATATACAATCACAAACACAATATATACACACGTACGCCCAAAATTAAAATTACTCACAAAATAATTTTTTCTTTTATAGAAAAGTTAAACCAAAAACATCGTCTATAGTAGTAAAAAAAATAGAGAAACCTTGCGATCTTCGTGATTTTGAGATGGAACTTCATGTTTATCTAATATGGTGTTGGAGTTTATGAAGCCCGATTCGGGAATATATATATATATATATAAATAAAAAATCATTGAAGGTTACCATCTTTACTTTGTGGCGTGCTTTGATGAAGCGTGTGTAGGTTTGATGGAGTGTATGAACTGTTGAAGGCCCAATTTTCAGAAGGCCCAATTTGGATTTCCCTCAAAATATAAACATTCCTAGAGTGATTTAATAGCCTAAACAAAAATGGTATTTATAATTATGACGTTGGCAATTTTAATTCAATAAAATTGATATTGCAAGTGGCATGTAAAAATAAATGAAATAAATAATTTTAATGCCATCTTTCCGGTAAAACAAATAGTTTGATCCATTTCAAGTCTATTGTGCCTACGAACCCAAAGAGAAAAAAGACTCTTAGTGCTAGCTCATAAACTCGAGTCAACGTAGGTCTTTGACTACTAAAACAGAAAAATCAAGGTCGATCAAGTTGTCGAAGGGCAAGTCAGAGTCCATTCGACAACTTGATCAATTTGATAGTTCCGTGGGTCCTAACACACATGTGTGTGGTGAAAGACTACATAAATACACAAATATGTAAAATTTAAAATACAAAAAAAAAAAAAAAAAAAAAAA